TTAAAACTCATTTTTCCTTGATCTATTTATTTCATGTATTGTTCTAATAGGTTTCTAATGACAGCTATGTACTATGTGATTGTTTATCTGTAATTTTATACAGTATATGTATATCTGCATGTATGTATGTATATGTATATATACATGTATGCAAGCTTAAATTTATCTATACTGTAAAATACTACAAAAAAAAACTACTAACTAAAGCAATTATATACAATAAGCTCCACTACACTACCCATCTTTTGTGATACATGTTGCTTCCTTCTAAAATAACCAACCCCACGGCGACCAAAAAAGACCAAACACAAGACAACGAAAAGCTCACCTGGCAGGCAAACAGGATAACCACACACAGACCGACCCACGAGTGCAGACTGTACATATTGGGAATGCCCAATGCATTGTGGAAGTCGAACACGGCCACGATCCCGACCACGGAGAAGATGAAGGTCCCGAGCTGAACCAGCGTGTGGATGATCTTCAGCTTCTTCTTCTTCTCGGATCGGAATCCTCTGTACACTAGGGCACCTGCGAAAAAAAATGATAATGAATAAAACTAAGGTAAAATGAATGAATGAATAAAAATAAGTTAAAAAAGGGTGCTCCTCTGTGCATTTAATTTCTCGTATTCATTCTCTTCATCATCCTATTTGTCTTCTCCATTTTCTTCATCATCCCATTTATCTTCTCCATTTTCTTCATCATCCCATTTATCTTCTCCATTTTCTTCATCATCCCATTTATCTTCTCCATTTTCTTCATCATCCCATTTATCTTCTCCATTTTCTTCATCATCCCATTTATCTTCTCCATTTTCTTCATCATCCCATTTATCTTCTCCATTTTCTTCATCATCCCATTTATCTTCTCCATTTTCTTCATCATCCCATTTATCTTCTCCATTTTCTTCATCATCCCATTTATCTTCTCCATTTTCTTCATCATCCTATTTATCTTCTCCATTTTCTTCATCATCCCATTTATCTTCTCCATTTTCTTCATCATTTGCTTTCTCTAAATTTTCAATATCCATCTCTTTTCCCTAAGGCTGCATCCACACTAACACAGAGCAGGTGCGGGCATACAGGGGCAAGGAGTGAGCTAGAGCATTTGTCTCCTTGCTGAGTAAATACTGAGGTGGTTGGACCTGTCACAGTCAAGGGCATGTCATCTATACAGGTTAAAGTGTTACAAATCTTGTCCCTTTTGCCCAGCACATGCCAGGTTCTTGCCAGTGTGGACACAGCCTTACACTGCAAGTTTTTTAAAAAGGGGGCTTTTCTCTCACTCTCATCAATTCAGCCAAAACACAGACATACAAACACACACACACACACAAACAAATACACACACACACACAAATAAATTCACTCAATGAAAATAATTACTTTTATTACGATCACGGAGATTCAACTCATCATTACCCCATGTGTTTTTGAAAACAAGAGTCAATACATACCATAGATACATCTAGAATGTTATATAAAATACTTATACTTAGTAAAGAGAAGTTATTAGTAATTCTTTTACATGTGGAAAGGTAACCATAAAGCCCCCCCCCCCCACACTGTAAAAAGAATAATAAATGAAATAAAATAAATAAAACAATTATAATAATTCATAATAATAACAATAATTATTATTATTATAATAATAATAATTATTATTACTATAAAAATAATAACAATAACAATTACTATTATTCATCTAAAAAGAAACATATCGAAACAATATACAGTATATATACCCCTCCCTAAAAAAAAAAAAAAAAAAAAAAAAAAATTATATATATATATATATATATATATATATATATATATATATATATATATATATATATATATATATATATATATATATATAAACAAATAAACTATATAAAACACCTTGAATATCCTCCACAAAAAAAAAAAAAAAAAAAATCAAAATCTACACACAAAAAAGGAACAACAACGACAACAAAACTAAAAAACAATAAAGATATGTTATTATCTTCATTATTTTTTAGTTTTGTTATTGGTGTTGTTGTTGAAGATAATAATGAATGATAAAAATGAAGATAATAATGAATGATAATAATGAAGATAATGATGAATGAATTAAATGATGATAATGAATTAATAAAAAGATAATAAAGAATGAATAAAATAATGATGATAATAACAATAAAACAAAATAAAAATAAAAACACACACCACCACCCACCATTCGCGTAGAGAAACACCATCCCTAACACCATGAGGAACGGATGCCAGTTGAACTGCAGCGCCGGCTGAGCCCACCCGAACCCCCCGCGGTAGATGCCGATCCAGACGCCCACCAGCACCACGCACAGGATGCCTGGGGGGAAAAAAGGATATTTGTTAGGAATATCACTTTGCTTGAAGGGGAAAAAAACGGAAATTCTTTTAAAGTATCACGAAGCTGAAGGAAGAAGGATATTGTTAAGAATATCACTTTGCTGGAGGGAAAAAAAAAACGGGAATTGTTTAAAGTATCACGAAGCTGAAGGAAAACGGATTTTGTTAAAAAAACATCATGAATCTGAAGGGAAAAAAAACGGAAACTGTTTAAAGTGTCTCGAAGCTGAAATAAAGATTTAATTAAAATAAACCGAAATATCACCCCGAAACAATATTAATTGAAATAAAAAAATCACAAGATGCTGGAGATACAGAGAGAGAGAGAGAGAGAGAGAGAGAGAGAGAGAGAGAGAGAGAGAGAGAGAGAGAGAGAGAGAAGAAGAAAAAAAAACGAGAGAGAGAGAGAGAAGAAGAAAAAAAAAACGAGAGAGAGAGAGAGAAGAAGAAAAAAAAACGAGAGAGAGAGAGAGAAGAAGAAAAAAAAAACGAGAGAGAGAGAGAGAAGAAAAAAAAAAAAACGAGAGAGAGAGAGAGAAGAAAAAAAAAAAAACGAGAGAGAGAGAGAGAAGAAAAAAAAAAAAACGAGAGAGAGAGAGAGAAGAAAAAAAAAAACGAGAGAGAGAGAGAGAAGAAAAAAAAAAAAACGAGAGAGAGAGAGAGAAGAAAAAAAAAAAAAACGAGAGAGAGAGAGAGAAGAAAAAAAAAAACGAGAGAGAGAGAGAGAAGAAAAAAAAAAAACGAGAGAGAGAGAGAGAAGAAAAAAAAAAAACGAGAGAGAGAGAGAGAAGAAAAAAAAAAACGAGAGAGAGAGAGAGAAGAAAAAAAAAACGAGAGAGAGAGAGAGAAGAAAAAAAAAACACGAGAGAGAGAGAGAGAAGAAAAAAAAAACGAGAGAGAGAGAGAGAAGAAAAAAAAAAAACGAGAGAAAGAGAGAGAGAGAAGAAAAAACGAGAGAAAGAGAGAGAGAGAAGAAAAAACGAGAGAAAGAGAGAGAGAGAAGAAAAAACGAGAGAGAGAGAGAAGAAATGAGAGAGAGAGAGAAGAAAAAAGAGAGAGAAGAAAGAGAGAGAGAAGAAAGAGAGAGAGAGAGAGAGAGAGAGAGAGAGAGAGAGAGAGAGAGAGAGAGAGAGAGAGAGTGAGAGAGTGTTTTCAACACACAGTATACCTCCCTTTCCCTCCTCCACTCCCTCCCCCTTCCTCCCCTTCTCCTCTTCTCACCCTCCCCCCCCTCCTCTCCTCTTCTCACCCTCCCCCCCTCCTCTCCTCTTCTCACCCTCCCCCCCCTCCTCTCCTCTTCTCACCCTCCCCCCCTCCTCTCCTCTTCTCCCCCTCCCCCCCTCCTCTCCTCTTCTCACCCTCCCCCCCCTCCTCTCCTCTTCTCACCCTCCCCCCCTCCTCTCCTCTTCTCCCCCTCCCCCCTCCTCTCCTCTTCTCCCCCCCCCCCTCCTCTCCTTGAATCTGTCTCTCCAATCATCCCTAATTCTTAGCAAGCCATCCGATTTTTCCCTCTTCCTCTTCTTTTTATTCTACTTCCTCCTCTCCTCCCTCCCATCCTCTCCTCCTCTCCCCTATCCCTCCCTTCCTCCTCCTCTCATCCTTCCCTCTCATCCTTCCCTCCCATCCTCCCCCACCTCCTCTCCTCCTCCTCCCATCCCCCTCCCCCTCCCCTTCCACCTCCTCCTCCTCCCATCCCCTCCTCATCCCCTCCCCACCTCCGTTCCTCTCCCATCCCCACCTCCCCTTCCCCCTCCTCCCATCCCATCCCATCCCCTCCTCTCCTCCCCTATCCCCCCCATCCCCTTCCTTCCCCTCCCCTACCATCCCCACCTCCTCCCCTACTATCCTATCCTTCCCTCCTCCCCCCACCTCCAGTCCCCCTCCTCCTCCCATCCCATCCCATCCCCCCCTCCTCCACCTCCTCCTCCCCCCTCCCCTCCTCTCCTCCTCCCCCTCCCCTCCCTTTCCATCACCACCTTCTACTCCTCCTCCCATCCCCTATCCCCCTCCCCTCCTCCCATCCCCTTCCCACCTCTCCCCATCCCCTATCCCCCTTATCCCCCTCCCACCCTTCCTCCTCCCCTCCTCCCATCCCCATCAACACTCACCAAGCATCTGGGCGAAAGTGTAGAGTTTGGTGAAGAACCGGATGTTTCGCGACTCGTTCTCCATCTCGTCGATCAGTCCTCTGCCGATGAGAGACCCGACCTCTCCAGCTTCCCAGTCGCGTCTGCAAGGGGCCAAGACGAGAGGGCAATTAAACAGGAGGAAATGAGATGCTGTGCTTTAAGATCTTTGATGATGAGACTTTGATAATGAGGTCAAGTGTGACGAGAGAAAGGAGAGAAAAAAAGGAAAAAGAAAGAAAGAAAGAAAGAAAAAAGTATATAATTGAAAAAGAAAACGGCCATCTGATGAACATTTAATTTTGTCTCATTTGTGTCTATGGATATAATCGCTGGTGTCAAATTAAATGAATAAATAAATAAATAAATATTGAAATAAACAAATACTAGAATAATTATATATGATATAGAATATTATGTATAATAAATACATAAATAATATATAATGTAAAATAAAAAATAATAAATGTGTGTGTGTGTGTGTGTGTGTGTGTGTGTGTGTGTGTGTGTGTGTGTGTGTGTGTGTGTGTGTGTGTGTGTGTGTGTGTGTGTGTGTGTGTGTGTGTGTTTGTTTTCGCAACAGCATGAATGTGTATGTACATGATGTGCGTGTGCCTGTGCCTGTGCGTGTGAGTTTCTCGTGTCCATGCCGTGTATTCGTGTGCAGGTGCGTGAACGCGTGCATGCTTAAAACTTTTATCTCTAGGTTTAGCATGCCCGGACTTGTGTTTACATCTAATTCAACATGCAAGGTCATGACGCACAACCCAAAGAGCTGACGTCATAGTTTCGTACATAAATGGCGCCCAATTGCCCGACTCCATAGAACTATTAGTCAAAATTTACGTGACAACTTTTCCTTCCTTAGAAAAAAAAAAAAAAAAAAAAAAAACGCTAGCTTCTTAAAAAGAAATTTTAGTAGAAAATTATCCCTTGTTTGAAATTATTGGAGAAGAAAAGTTGCCTTACAAGAGATTTGAGTTATCAATAATTAATTAGTTAATGACTTCAAAGAGGTTATTTCTTCTCTTTTTATAGTTTATCCTGTATCCCTTGCACGAAAAAAGAAAGAAAAAAACATATCCTAAGTGATTCTATACCAAGCCATAGTAGTCATAGCGATAAATACAGAAAAGGTAAACTTGAGAATGAATATCATCAGAATACCAAAGATGTACTTAACCTGTATCGAATATTTCTGACGAAGATATATTCGAAACCGGTTAAATACATCTCTTATCCTATAAAGACATTCATTCTCATTAATAAGTATTAGTGAGGTAATATTTCAATGAATTAATGAACACACTTGTTAATATCCGTTTTGCATAGGCCTATATATCCATCAAAGTCGATTACCCTCAGTCGGTCAGCTTAAACAGCTTAGACCAAATTGTATTCAAAACATCGAATAATGGACGCAAGGCTTAATGGAATACCAAAGCAAGAGATTAAAATATAACAAAAATATCCTTCAGCAAGGAAAAGGCGTGGCTTGTCATCTATCAAATACCAATGTCAATATTCTAACGAACATACATTCCTCAGGTCCTACGAAACAAAACAAAACAAAACAAAACAAAACAAAAAACAGGCTAAGAACAGAAAAACAGAAAGAACAGAACAGAAATAGTTGTTTTTTAGGCAAGGAAAAGAAGATAATGGTATTGCAGCTTCAACTAACACCGAAAAACAACTACAGACAGGAAAACGAAAGAGAGACGCGATAGAATAGAAGAATAATTCGTATAACCATGTCAGCTAACGGAATGCTAATACTAGTACGACTGAGTGAAGAGACTGAGTTAAGTGTGTGTTTGCGCCCGTGTGTGCACGTGTATGTATGTACGTATGTATGTACGTATGTACGTATGTATGTATGTATGTATGTATGTATGTATGTATGTATGTATGTATGTATGTGTACGTGTGCGTGTACGGACGAGAGGCCAGGTAGTAATGTTGCCCCTTCCCCTTTACCAAACGCTCCTAAAATACGTGTAAAAAAAATAAACTGTCCGCGAGCATGTGCATCCCCCATACCGACCTCACTCGCTATTCCGTCCGTGGGTCAGCTGGAAATTCTGTGCATTTTCTTTTCTTTCTTTTTTTTCGCACGTCACACACGGCTGGCAGCAAAACATGTACGAGGCTAGGTCGGGAATTTTAAGTACGTCAGCACGGGCGGGCATTTCTTTCGGCATTGCTAACCCTGCTATGCTGACCCGAACAGCATACCCAGATTTACCAATTTTACCAGATTTTGGAAGGGGAGTTTAGCCCCCTAGAATTATCTTCATCCTTCTTGAGTCTACACGCTCTCTCTCTCTCTCTCTCTCTCTCTCTCTCTCTCTCTCTCTCTCTCTCTCTCTCTCTCTCTCTCTCTCTCTCTCTCTCTCTCTGACCAACAGTTTGTCTCTCTTTTCCTCCCCTCCCCTCCCCTCCCCTCTCCTCTCCCTCACTCTTACTCTCACTCTCTCATATCTCTTACCCTTACCCTATCCCGACCTCTCTTATCTTCTCAATCTCCTCTCCTCTCCTTTCTTCACCCTGCCTTCCCCTCTCTCCTCTCCTCTCTTCTCTTCCCCTCTCCTTCTCCTCCACCCCCCCTTCTCCTCCTCCTCTCTCTCATCTCTTCTCCGTCCCCCTCCACCCTCAAAGAGCATAAAAATCCCACGCCCGCACCTGTCAGTCTGTGGCTTCCCCGCAATAACATTTATCGGCTTAACGCGACAGCCAACAGCCGGTGCACCCTGTTGGCCCTCATTTGTCCCACTGAAGTAGTTCCATCCCCTGGCGCTCATTAGGAGGGATGCGTCGCCCTCCTCTCCCCCCCCGCTTCCCCCCCCTCCCATTCCCCTCCCTCCGTCCATCCAACCGTGACAGTTTCAGCATCTTGTTATTCTCGCCTCGGGTTTAAGGGGCTCGTCCAGTTTAAGGTCCGCGGCAAGTTTTAAATTCCTCGTGTAGTTTAGTGGATTTGTCCCGTTTTAGGTCCTCGCCCGGTTTTAGGTGCTTGCCCATCTTTAGATCCTCGCCCAATTTGAGCTTAAGAACCAATAATTTTAGATCCTCACGTGTTTAAATGTCCTCCTTCGGTTTTAGTCCTTTTCCTCCCATATACTTACTTTTCTTAACACTAGAACACACAGGTTTACATGCCCTTTCACACGCTTAAGAATAAACAATATCATGAACATGCTTACTCGGGAAATCATGCCAAGAGTCTCTAAAGGCTAAAGGACGGGTGGCCATGCACTGTAAAAGGAAATATAAACAAAATACCGGGGCAACCTGGTCTTACCTCACTTGTTTCGGTGACGCCAGCATCTTTGCCTCGCTTTAGTTCAATGTCACGGATTTCTCCTTATCCAGTGGTTAAATTAATAACAGTTTATCGATCACTTGATTCAGTCCGGAGAGTATCGAAGCTGTTAGCAACTAAAGAACACCAAATATTTGCAAAACATTAAGGAACAAATATATAAATATATCTATCAATCAAAATAATAATAAATAAACATAAAAGAAAAAAAATATGTATATGATAAAGCACTCAATAAGGGATCACTTCGCCAACAAACGTTTCACGACACTTGTAAAATATCAAAACATCTTGCGACACGTAGAGAATCAAAGCGTTTTGCGGCACTTGTACAAGATCAAAACGTCTTGCAACACTTGTACAAAATCAAAACATTTTGCGGCATTTGTACAAGGTCTGGCTGAAGCTAGACAGAAAAAGATACTAGCCTTTTTTATAAGCCACTATCAATCCTTATTTGCCAGGAACCAACACACTGATCTTAACGTCTATCCATCAGGGAAAAGGTTCATCTAAAACTGACCGTCCGCCTTTTTCTGTTATCAATCCCAGTGGCACCGAAATAACCAGCTTACATCACACAGCCTTCCCCAGATAAAGGAATAAGTCGATATTAAACCGACAATCACTTAGAAAGAAAAAAAATCCCAGCAGGAATATATATACATATATACGCTTTTACCAGCCGATGCGCCCTCATTTGCATATCTAACAAGGCCTCATTTTTTAAAGCCTGACGTCCCGGGAATTGAGGATTCCCCCTATCCCCCCCCCCATTCTCCCTTCCCCCCACCCCCAAGTATCGGCACAATAGAGACGTTTTCGCCTCCACAAGAATGAAATGCGTAGATCGTGACAAATGTTGGCGTTGTGATACATGTAGATATGAAGAACCTGTACCATGCAGATAATGTAACAATGCAGAATTATGAACAAATATCGAAAGTGTGACAAATGTAGAAATGTTAATAAATGCAGCAAAATGTAACTTGTAGAAATCGTGACACATGTATGAATTGTGAAAAAAAACAGTGTGACAAATTAATAAATGCATTATGACAAGTGTAGAGATAGCATGAATGAGAACGATTTTTTAAAAATCCCAATGGGAGACACGTAATTGACATTCCATCATCAGAATTACTTAATACCGTAATTTCATTCCGCACAGTCGAATCATTCGCTGTCACTCCTACCTTTTTGTTTCCTTCTACATTTCTCCTCTCTTAAATAAATGCATACAAACGTACAATACATTTTAAAGCGCCAGCCGTTTGTGAAAAAAAAGCTAGAAATTGTTTTATTTCTCATCCTCACGGCCAACCAGTGGCGTCTTGTAACGAATTCCACCAGACCACAGATAAATCAGGCGAGGGTAGCGAGACCATTCATGGCTGACCTAAAAAAAATGGTCACTCATGGACAACGCTGTAGCACAGGTTCTTGATGAAAGATTCCTCAAAGTTCATATCTATATTCCTGGAGGAAGAAGAAGAAGAAGAAGAAGAAGAAGAATATGAAGAACAAGAACAAGAAGACGAACAAGAAAATAGCAAAAAACTAGATAACAATAGGACAGAATAACTACAACTGACCCACGAAACACAGAGAAAAATACACGAAAGTACAGATTTTATCGATTTCTCTCGCCGCGTCGACCGTCTACTAACCCTCGCAGACCGTACATCGTGGCGCGAACCACCAGGAAATTGTCCTAGAATTGTTCAAGTCAAGAGATCAATACCTGGCGTCGAGTGCGACCTTGAATTCGAAGACAGG